TTTTGTTATCCGTGAAGGAAAACCATTTTGCCATTCTTTTTATAACATCATCAAACATTCAAAAACTGGAATCCTTATCGCGTTGAAGCTAAAATGGAAGCGAATAAACAAGATTTCCTTCAGATGCTGATGAAACAAAGACAAAATTCGTGTGTTCTATTATTTAATTAATTATTCCTGAATTGCGGAAAGTTTTTGCCAAGAAATTGATATAACGAAGGTTATGTGGGTGGGTTTTATGGTATTCCATCGACAAAAAAAATGACACGAATGAAGACGGCTTTCCGCCCTAAACAGCTTATGCTGTCATCAAAATTGAAAGAGTGATTGTGTGTATTCTTTGGTGTCGCTCTTGTGAACTTGATGGCTGAGCATTGTAGGTGGTCTTCATCTTGGCCGCCGTCCATGCTGCTGCTCGATGTCTCTTAATACATCACTGACACACCTAATCATACGGTCCAGTGGCAAAAATACTTGAGCCAGTTGATTAAATGCGTCTGCACGTATCGTGATGACGGTTAAGTTTCGGTCATGATAATTTGGTGAAATGTTGCCAAATGCAGAAATGAACAATTATGCCGTTTTGGTGCCGGTATAGTGGACGAAATGACAAAATCGTGAGTCACAATTTCCTGCATGAGATTACATTAAAAACGAAGCGGAAATTTTTCCTTCTTATTTCCGGTATTTCACCTGCACAATCAGAAAATATTCGCGCGTACAGACACTAAACCGATATAATTTTCCGCTGCTGGGTGCACAGCAACCGTCGTTTTTCACATCCACATCTCTATGCGATTCAAACACAGAGCAGATGTGGAAGGAATTCACGGAGTGGAGTCGCATTTCGTAATTCATTTCGCTTTTGCGAAATTGGTTTCGAATATCACGGGCCATGCCAACCAAGAGAAAAAAAAACGGTGCACTCTTTCTTTGATTCTTACTCTTGCGATGGCAATTACGAATGGCAAAAACCAATCCTAATTGAACTCAAGAAGAATTCGTGTATACAACAGAAATTGTGTGCGATTTTTTTTCCTGTCCTGCCTTTCGGTTCTTCTCAGCAACCCCTCATTTAATTGTATTTGCGATGTGATATCTGGCATTTGTCGAGCGCATAAGTTGAATTTTTATCGTTCACCTTAAAAGTGAATGCGTTGCGTAGCAAAGGCAACATTTAAAATACACGCTAATAAAAAAGAAAAACAAAGAGAGCAACCACTCGTTCCTTCGTTTCGTTTTGGTTTTCGTGTGTTCCGTAATGATTTCTTTTTTGTTGCCTACTTCCATCCTACTCCCGATCCCATTCTCTCTCACTTGCTCGATTCATTTTTCATTTTGTTGGTGGTGCGGTGGAAAAAGTGTTGTAAGCCCAGGGCTTAAATGTCGATTCATAAAAACAACAACAATAAAGCGTATAATATTGGCTTTGTTAGCTCTTATTCGGGGCAAAACCGCATAAAATGTACACATGCCATAATACAACTTACACAGTCGACGACGTGTGCGCTAAAAACCATTGCGTTTGGGTGTTCTTTTCTCTCGTTTGTGTATCGTCGTCGTCGTTATGCTATCACATAAATAAAAACAACATGATTTGAGCGCTGTTGCATGCGTCCCATGCTTAGCAAAAAAGGGAGATATATATATATATATAGCGAGAAAGTCGTGTAGTTTGGGCTGATTCCTCGTGCGCCTCTCTATCTCACTCTCTTTTCGCCCCATTCCCATAACCCTCTCGCTCGCTCGCTCGCTCTACTTTCACAGCAAATTTCGTCTTGCCTTTGTACATTTCGTATTACATGCACACGAACACAGTAATCTAAAACAAAATGTTTAATCAGAATGATAACAGTGTGCCGTTGAAACGCTTTATTTTGGAGTGAATGGATGAACGTGCAGAAGGCAGAACACACGAACGGAGACGAGAATGCGTCGAGACTGAAGTTTTTTTTTACTGGGTTTTTCGGATAAGCGAAACTTCGTCATTTAAGTAGTCGTCTTCATCGTTCTTTTTGTGTGCAACGTGGAAACTCGACGAGAGAGTGAGATAGAGAACACCCGAAAAGTTTGTGGCAATTGCCCCTTCTTTGACTCAGTATCTTTCTCACTCTCTTTTACACACACTCTCTCGCAACTAGTTCAAACGGTACTTGTTTCCATTCTCTTTAAAACAGTCACTATGTCACGCCATCGTTTCAACATTCTCTCGTACAAATAAACCATGCCGAAAAAAAGCGAAGAAAATTATATTGTGGAACTGCCGTAGGGTAGAATTACCTACGAGCTGAATGCCTGAAAGAAGTAATCTGGTAAAAACGCGCCCGAACAAAGATATAAAAACTCGAAAGAGTCGTTGTCGAATACATCGCATGAAATGGATTGTGCGAAATTCACGAAATGCCCATCACAAGAAGGAAAATGCATCGTGGCGAAGAAAGAAGACAAAAAACGAGAAGTAAACGAAGAAAAAGAAAATAGAACAAAAACACAAAGGAAAGCCCGACGCTTCCTTCGGCGCATTGTTGTTGCTTTGGCTGTTGTCAGTTCGTTGAATTGAGTTTTTTGGTGGGGGAGAGAAAATTGATGTACGCAACAACGAAGGTACAATTGCTTTTGCTGCCACTAACTAACTAACGAGGTAAAAGGCAACTGTACTCTGTGTATAATGTGCAAATGTTTATTATACGTGGCGTAGATAGATGACGAAGGGAATAGGGAATGTTGTGTGCACTGTTCCACACACCACACTTCACTTCGCTTCGCTCCTCTTCAAACACACACACACAGCACACGGCCGAAAATCAAATGAATGCGAACATGATGGGCAAATAAATACAACGTTTGTACTATTTATAACATAACATGTGTAGAATTGAATGTAGCCATCAGCAAAGCAGTGAACGAAGCAAAACTTGCATCAACCAACCAACCAACCAACCAACAACATCCGTGGCAGACATGGCTTTTACTTCGGAAAACATCAATCAATTGATGGCATGTCTTGTTTTGCAGAAACTTCATTCATTTCACCACTGAATTATGCTTAGAAAATGAAGGAAGGAAAAGAGAGAGAAAGAAAAAATGCTCCGAATAAATTGAATGAATTTGTCCAGATCGAATAAGTCGATTCGTTGTTCGTTCCCGTTTTTGTTACGTTTCCTCGTGTGTTGTCGTCAGCATTGAATTTCCAGCAAATTAGTGAATTTCTCGATATGTGGCGTGAAGTCCTGTTGAATTGGCCTTTATGAATTCAGCAAGAAGAAAAATATGCGCATTTTCAATTTCATTAGGACCAGCAAATGCCAGCTGATGCATTCACATCGAAGTGACTGCCATCCGATTTATATGCAAACTTTTCTCATAAAACACCCGAATGCATGAGCACCGGCAATATTGTGTCTTAATAGATTAACAAATTCCCCAAGAAAAAGAAAGAATCCATTTATCTGGATTGATGTGTGCACAAACACACACACACAGGAAGCAATATTTGCGATTGAAATCCATTCATTTGATTCAGTTTGGGTCGCTGCGTCTGATTGCCTGTGTGTCGTCGCTCTTCATTTATTCAAAAAATATCAATAAGTGCGTTATGTGTCTAATGTGAGCGTGTGTATGTCTGTGTCTGTGCGACACACCGAAAAAAAAGAGCCACACGCATCGAATTAATGATGTAATCTAATCAGAATTATGTACGAAATATAGCGTTGTAGAGGCGTTTAAACGTGATCCAATTTACTAACATTAGTATGGATTTTTTTTTTCTTCTCCTCCGTTTGTTTGCGTTGGTATGGTTTTTTTTGGTTGTTGCTGTTGTTGGTTGGTTTAACACGTTACCAGAAGTAAGTCAGCATTAATCTTTGTAATGTGTTTTCGGTTTTGGTGTTTTCCATGCTGCGGCAGAAACAATAAGTCACATTTAAACGCGATATGGCTTTCTAAACGATTCCATTCATCCCGCTTGGATTACGATATCAACTGCCTTGTAATAAAGTTAAGAAAGGTGGTTCTCGAATAGTTTCAATGAAATATGCACCCCGTTTTCGTTGAATGATGAAATAAAAACCAGCACGAAACTTTGTTCAACCACAAAATCGCTTCGCTTGAATTATTGTCGAAATTTTCCGCTTTTTCTGGGGATGATTCATAAAATCTTTTGACATTTCCAACCGAAAATGAAACAATTTAATCTTCTCTTCCGTTTTTACCCACAAAATTTACCTTTCGTCAAATTTTTATTCATTTCATTCATTTTGTTTTCTATACATTGATTTTGATACGAAAAAGGGTTAGATTTTAATCGGTTTTATTAAAGGAACTGGAAACGATACGCACAACTTGAACAATGTGTGTGAAAGATACAAATCGTAGGCAATTTGGACTGTTTTATGGAGAAAAGTCAATAATTTTGATTAATCATCGCGATGATCTCATTAATTTGAATCGAAATATTTTATACGAATTGTTTTTGAACATCATTCAAATTAATTGGGTTGCATTCAGCCCAAGGCAATTACATTTTTTTTTATTCAACCCATAAATTTTTGGTCAAATGAATCGAATGCAATACTTGAAGATTCAAAATATGCAAATGATGTCTAACGATTTTTGGTACCTTTTTTGCACATCAATTGGCTATTAGTGTAAAAGCAATGGTAGTATTTGTTAATGATATTTGTTCGTCCATTCGATGTTGTATGTCCAGCAAACAATAGTCCACGAAAAAACAATTGAAACCCATTTAAACGGATTTGATCAATTTGATGATAAAATTGAAAGTTCACAGAATTATGTAGAAAAAAATCAAATCGACAAATGAATTGTTGATAATTTTGCGCACTGTTCAATCAGTTTCAATTAAAAAAGGCAATTAAAAGTTGCTTGACTTTGATCGATTTAAACCCAAAATGTGCGCCATTCGACACAATCCTTCGAAACTTTCTTATTCATATTTCAAAACCAAATAATCAAGTGATTTTTCATATGTTTATTTGCAGGATGGCGAGACTCAATTCTATCACTGCCAAAGAAATGGTTGTCCGTAACAGGGGCTACCGACGAATTTGGATTCCCAGAAGTAAGTAGAAAATGATCATCATGAATATAAATTTAAGCCGGATGAACGGGGCGAATACCAGCAACAACAGCCATGGAGATAGAGGAGAACAAAAGAAGCAGAGAGATTCACTTGAGAGCAATCGACTTTTTTTGCTTTATTAATCTTTTCGAATTGAGCGTTTTGTGTTGATCTCATGAGAGTTGATAATTTGTAACATATGGAAAGGCTTAATTAAGAAATATTTGAGCAAGCCTTTTTCCCCAAAAAATAAGTTAAATAAAACGTTTGCACACGTCGTCATGAGAAATATATTGTGATATTTATATGGTATACTTTCCCGGGATTCATTCAATATTCAAAACAACCGAGAATGTTGCGATTTTTCGGTAGTAATAACTTTTGGCGGCTCCAGTCATTTCAAGTCATTGTTGAGAATGTAACAAAAGACAATCACATTGTGGGCATATGATCAACAATTGAACACGTACACAGATGTGATATGCATTTTACAAGTACCGTGAATTATATGACGCGTTTATTCTTCAGGGCATTACTTCAGCTTGAATTCTAGGAACACTTAATTTGTTGTTAGGAGGAGAAAGAAGAAGAAGGCGCAAAGAAAAGTGCGAACGAACGTAGGTAATTTTATGCGCTCGATAGGAAACGCAATCGAAATAAGACCATATTCGTCGGCGCGAATACTCCAGAGAAATCACACTTTTTTATGCATTTACTATTGAGCCATATATATGTATGGAACAAGACGAATGAATGGAACAATGTTACGAATGCAAAAATGTTTGACGTTAACACAGTAACGATTTTATATTTTGTCGTTTCCCCCTTTGTGAATGAATGTTCCCGGCTACTATGTTGTTTTCTCTCTCTCCTCGGTATTTTACATTCAGATTTGAAGTACCGATCAAAAGGCATGCTCTTGAAAGCAACCAGTGTTAAGCAGAGTTCATTGCAAATACGCATCGGCCTCTCACACTCTTCATAGAGAAAAAAAAAGAGAGGATACGATGAACTCATAACTTGGCCTATGGCTGGTGGTTGGTGTCGGTGCGGTACAAACACGCTACACATCGTACTTTTTTTGCCTACTGCTATTCTCTCTGTCTATTTATTTGTTCTTTTCATTCACTTTCAATAGTCGGCATTGTGACATTTGCAACGGCAAGTGAATGAGTCAGTTGAATGAACAAACGACACGGTTAACGGTGTGATGGCAAACAACAAGTGAAATGTGGCAAATGCAATCCAAAACAAGATACAACGCACAATAAAGAAATGAAATACATGAAAATCCCATGAGAACATTGACTAACGCACGAACATTCAAATATTTACAATTTACGTTATATAGCACACAGTTTACGGGACAGGGTTTTTTTTCTCTCTCGTATGTAGGGATAAATAGGGATTTCGATCTGAATTCAACATGCCCATCGAATTTTGAATTCGACTTTGCTTTCGCATTTCGGCACGACGGATTGCAGTGTGTGTGTGTGTGTGCATGTGTTAGACAGGGGAGTCTTCCTCCCGAAATCGGTCGAGACGGATGACAGACAGGGATATATGCGATTTGTGTATACGCATTTGAATATGTTTGCATTTAAATGTCAAATAAAATTAGATTAGTACTGGTATTGAATGTGCATTGGCATTTGTAAGACAACTTCCATGTTCCTTCACTTTTTTGTTGCTTCATTTTAAGAGGGAATTAGTAGAGACGGAAAAAAATAAGAAATCTGCTGAATAAATTTAACCAAATGAATGGAATGGAATGGATAGATTTGTCCCCAGAAATAAAACCCGTCGCCGTTTGCAATTTGTTCCTAATTGAGCACAAAGTCGAAAGGTAGAGCGATGGCATTTGTGTGCTTGAATATTTAATTGGATGTGGGAATCATGAGCATGCGTAGCCGCCCAGAGAAAGTAGATAAAAATGAACACAGCGACAAATCAAAAACCAGACAAAAAGAATATACGCGCATAAAATTTCACACAATAGCCACAGCAACATTCCTTGTTACACTATTAAATGGTTTGCCTTGGTTTGGTTTGGTTTGGCTTGGCTTGACTCGGCTGTTAATTATTTTTTTTTTCCAGACAAACACGTTTCGCAACAAAAGATTATGGAGCGTGTCTTTGGCCGACAACCTCAGCGTTATAATTACGAGTAATTTTAGGTGTCAAATGCACAATTCAATAATACACCCCACAACAACTACAATACGACTGCCGAAAATGTACAAAACACAACAAAAATTTGTGCACAAAACAACCCAGCAAGGTATCGCAATATCAGTTTATTTGCTATTTGATGACGATGTTGCGGCTGTTTTTGCTGCTGCTACCGCCGTTATTCGATCGCTTGTGAATTGTCAGTTGCAATGTCTGACGAAGTGCAATCCTTATTGCCCATTGGGTTTGGTTAAAGCACAAACCGTAATACGGCTAAGTTCATTCAAAGTAAACAACAAACGATATCATGACAACCAATTCGACCCTCTGCTATTAACAATCGAAACACTATATAAACTAAAAATGTATATATGTATATATTCAGTTACACTATCAAATAAATTACAAAGTAATTTCGAATGTTTCACAACAACCAGTTGCAAAGTGATTATTTTTCCGTTTCTCAAAGAAAACGGATCCGATTTCTTCTCCCGTGCTCATCGCAATTTGGGTTTGGGGAATTGGAAAGTAGAGTGAAATCGAACTGTTTGAAGTCAAATTTGTTGAAGTTACTCGGCGTTTGGCGAATGAGATCTCTCTCTCTCTCTCTCTTGCTCGCTCTGGATTCACTTCATTTGTGAAGTGTGGCACACGGTGGTAGCGAGAAGTGATTTTGAGCTTTTTGATGGGGTTAAGTGGAAATGGAGAAGAGCTCATTGTTATCAAACAATGATAGACTTTCATGCGAGATGAGTTTCACTTCGATGATACAAGCATCCTTCGTATTGTAATCCGATACCAGCACAACTCCAAAAATATTTCTCAACAAGCAGCAGCAGTTTGATTTCTACTTTATGCCCTCAATTTAGCGACTGTGCGACTGTGCTCTACCTAAATTACCCCATCGGTCTCATAGAGCAGAAAATTTCGAAAGAAAGAAAATTATACTTAATTGTCGGCGAAGCCGAGGAAAAACAACCATGAATTGCTTCAGTATGCTCGCATTTTTGCAAAAGGTCATTTCTCCAATTTCAAAAGCACCATACACACACACACACAATGTGCTATGGAATAAAACTTCATCAAGCTTTGTCCTCTTGTGTTTTGGCATGCGGATATACGAGAGCGAATTTCTTGCTTGGTTTTTTTTTTTTGCTGTTGCAACAAAATACGAAAAGACCGAAATGAAAAGCACGAAGAAAGTTTTAATGCAATTTATTGTCGAGCATTTCTTGAATTCATAATTACGTTTCGAATGAAGAACAAAAAAGTGTGTGCGCGCACACGATACTGTGTTGCGTTGGTATTTGTTGGCACGAATAGCTAGAAAACAATTTGGATGATTTTGAGTGTTATGACAATCTCATTCGTGGAATTGCTTTTGTGTGCATCAGCGCTTATGCTCCACATTTTTGTACAAACTTCCATCACAAATTAAATTTTGAGCAACAACAAAACTGAAACTCAACATGAAAACAAGAAAAATAATATCAATTCAGCGTGCAGAACGGACATTTTATAGGACTTTTGAGATAATGTTTTCACAGAGCGCACAATTTTTCATGAACACAAGAATGAATACATTCTGAACTGAAGAACAAACACGCGTTGAATGCTCTTCCAAACGAGAACCGTTGATGAATTTATTTCAATATGCCCCATAATAATTTTTTATACCATTCGCTCCGCCATTCATCGTGTGAAATGAAAGAAATATTCATTCATTTGCATACAATTTGGCTCTCTCGCCTTCTTAACGTGTATCAGCACTTACAAATCTTTGCATTATTTATTTTGCTTCATTTTTGCAATTGAGCACTTGGCTTCGTTCAAATAAACGGCTTTTCCATTCATTTCAACAGAAATATCTTCTGTAATTATGGAAAAAAACGTACCTGTGATGCCTCGGTGAGTGAGCGTGTGTTCCACTTTTATTATCGTCGTTCAATTCATACTCATCATTCGATGCGCATAAAAAATAGCATTGCTATTTTGAATCATCCACCGAAAATGGTCGATAATAATTTATTATACATTAGTTGTTATGAAAAAGATACGCTTTCTGTATTATCCATCATCGGCCCACTTTTGTTTTTTTCTTTCAATTTGGATTTGTTGTGTACAATGAATTGTGCAACAATTAATCTAAAACCGAAAGCTACTTTAGCTCCCTGATGATGATAATAGTTGAGGAAGAGAAAAAAAAACTATGACCCACCATAGTTATGTGTAGTGTGGAGAATAATTTATTACACTCAAGCGTATATATATGCGATAGCATAAATTCACGAGGCTACTTAAACCCTTCGTCCATCGATCAATATTGTACATGCATACTTGTAAATATTTAGGTTTTATGTAGCAGTCACACGGCCCCGTATATGGCCAATAATAATAATTTCCATACGAAACAACCATTTGAATATATATAAATAGGTAGAAGATTGCCTGATTTTTTATATATATGTAAGTGGCACGTACTTAGGTTGTCCCACTCAATTTTCATTACCTTACTCTATTTTTAAGCAAGGTACTCGCTTGTTTCCTCCCTTCATAGTTCGACGGTCATTTGGAAGTTTCTTTTTTTTTCGAGACGGCCAAATGTTATTTTTACCAGAACGACCAGAACTTCAACATTTCCAACTGAAAGAAGTAAACACAAACAAACCGATCAAGTCTTGAAGTTTGAGCAATTTTCAAGTTTTCGTTCGATGAGAACCGACCCAAGCCGATCAAAGATTGTTATCGATTTGGAAATGTGCTCGAATTGAATGCGATTCATTTTCGTCAAAACTAAATAGTCGATTGGATTGAATGTGTGTAGCACAGAAAAATGTTCTTATTAAATAACGAATATGTATAGTATCGATTGATGGGGTTTTGTGCCTACTTTTATATCGAACGTACAACAACTTTATAGGTGGCTGCCAACAATTTTCGTATGGATTTTTTTTCAATAATGAAAGTTTTTTTTCCTTTTCTACTTCGACGTGATGAATTTATTAGATCGAAAAATCGACATAATTGAATTTGGGCTGGTGGTTCCGCAAATTCGCACACACACACATCCACCATCACCACATATACAATTTGATTAAGACATCGGAACACAAGATGAGTGTAACGAGTGAACACATGCATGTGTTCTAGATCGTACATTTAAACCTGTTCAATAAGTATACAAAAACACACGGGCGGGCTGGGCCGATCGGGAGAGAAAGTGTTGTCTGCAAGTCAAAATATGTTCAAAATATTTACGACTTGAAGACGGCGAAGACAGCAATTGGGCAATATATCGTGCGATATTTATGAGGGGTTATTTTAACAGTAATCATTTATTCGAACGTAACGAGATAGAGATAGAGAGAGAGAGTGAGAGTGAAAAAATATCAATTTTAAAGTTAACGCAATAAAATGAATAGATATGAGTTGTTGCTTAATCGCACACATATATCAGCCGCTGCATGCACGTCGCAGGATGATGAAATGTTAATTCGTATCTCTCTCGAATCGTATAATTTTTTGCAACCGAAATAATTCACGAACGAAATTAAACCTTGCACCAAAAGAAGAAGAAGAAGAAGAAAAACACGTTTGCAGCAATTTACAAACGGAATCTTTCATGACTGGCATTCACAACTACTAAGATTTGTAAATAGATTCAAATGTCTTCCGTTTCATTGCATAGTCATTGTGCGAATCTTCCGGCGAAATAATGACAATTTTGGTTAAATGTACATTGGCCTTTCAATAATTATAATTCTACTACTACGTTAAATGGATAGAGAAAATAATACAATTGGAGTTGAGTATACTTGAAATCACCGATGGTTGTTGTTGTCGTTGTCGTTATTGTTGTTTTTCTTTGTTCGCCACACATACACACACACACACACTTCAAGTGGGATCAAAACCGAACGCTCAAACTCAACAATATGCACCCTCACATGTATATATATTTTAATGGAAAACGAATAGCAAAATTCATAATAAATTTATTACACGAAATAATGTTGTTTGTTGTTGGTGGGAAGGCATGAGGCCCGTTTTCATTTCAAACTTGTCGCGTACGATGAGGAATCCCTGCGTTTCACTTCCCCAATTCCAACCACCGTTCACCGTCGTGTTTTTTTTCTTTGTCGACCGTGCATCTCATGTAATCTCATCCGCTTGCAGCAATGAATAAAATATTATGCAAACGAAAAATCATTATAATCACGAGCTCGTTTTTTCTGTTCTACGATGGTTTTTCGAATGAGATTTACGTTGAACAAGAGAGAGAGAGAGAGAGAGAGAGAGAGAGAGAGAGAGAGAGAGAGA